AACAACACATCTCATAGCATTGTTGTGTGGGGTAAAAAGAATGCTATATAAATGAGGATTGTTTATAACATGCACATATGGAAGATTTTCAAGCATGTGAAAAATCTCCTTTTCTCTAGATCTTTTAAAATGGGAGAAAAGATAGGCCATATGTTTGGGATATATAACAGAGCCTGAATTGGGTGAGGAGATGATTTGACAATTTCTCAAGACCTCCTCTAAACTTAAGCTGCTGTGATAATCTTGAAAATATCTTGGATGATGTCTTTTCAATTGGGCACAAAATCCTGTCTAAAGCTTTAAGTTAAGTAAAGTTTAGTTCCATTAAGAAATAGGATCTTTTTCTATCTATGGGTCAACTTACTCTTTTTTTCCTAATAAAATATAAACAGAGTTGGAGTAGTTGGGCAAAGGTTGTACAGAGGGAAAAAGTAAAAAATATGCTCCCCATTTAACACTTCTGGAGTCTAACTTTGGCTAGAATCACACTAATTGCTCAATATCTATTCCCCCACCTCCTCCTATGTGTAGACCAGATTTATTCTGTTCTAGATGATAAACTTAACCTTTTACAAATTTCTGTGTCAACTGTGTTTTGCCCTCTATTTTGTGTTGTTGAACTCATTATTTTATATAAAAATATATTCCTCTTCTAAAATAAGTGTAATGCTATGAATATAATGCTATGTATGCCTGCTCCCTATTAGTATCTTTGAAAAGAGGAGAGATTTTTGTGACTAAAGAAGAGTTTTAAGTATGGCCAAGTCTGTGAAAACGCATCAACCCAGAATTAAAAAATGCTTTCTTTTGTGTCTAGGAATAGCACCTCACTACAGTGTAGTGCAAAAAGGCCTAGATTTGGAGGCAAACACATGTGGTTAGAAATCCCAGCCCTGCTACTTCTTAGTTATTTGACTTTGAACAAGTTATATAACCTCTTTGAACCTCAGTTTCCTCATCTGCAAAATAAAGGTTTTAGATCAAATGACCCCCAACTTCTCCCCCAAATGCATTTCTATTATCCTATCTTGCATGTTTGCTTTTATTGCAGATCATATCATATCTCCCCAACCCCACCTCCTCTCTCCCCAGTGATTTACATGTCATGCTGACTAAAGCTAAGCAAAGAACAGTTAAATTCACGAATTCTTTCTCTGTTTTCCTCTCTAAAAGGAAGCCTAATTATTTGGTTAAGTTAAAACATTCTGCTTTGATTAAGGTCACCAATAAATAAAGCTGTGTTAGCAATTTTCCAAATACCTTTGGATTTTACAAATTTTATTATAAAAAATGTTAAACCAAGGAGATAAAGTTTAGTGACCTTAGTACAGAAACTGTATTTGGGAACTCTGCTAATCAAGTAGAAGGAATGTATTTACACAACCACATTAAGTAGCTCGGTGTCAGGTAGGTGGGACAAGAGGATAGCATCCCAGGTCTGGAGAAAGAAAGGTCTGAATTAAAATCCAACCTTAGGCATTTAGTAGCTGTGTGACTGTTTGCCTCAGTTTCCTCCTCCATAAAATGAGGATAACAATGACACCTACCTCACAGGGTTGTTGTGAGGATCAAATGAAATAATAATTGTTAAGTGTTTAGCACAGTGTTGGCACATATTAAGCACTATATACAGTTAGCTATAATTATTATTATTACATAATGCTGAACTTGGAGTCAGGAGGACTTGAGTTCATATTTGACCTCAGGAACTTAATTAGCTGAGTGACCCTTGGCAAGTCACTTGTCTGCCTCAGTATCCTCAACTGTAAAAAGGGGATGATAATAGCACCAACCTCCCAAGGTTGTTGTGAGGATTAAATGAGATAATATTTGGAAAGGTACTTAGCACAGTGCCTGGCACATAGTAGGTGCTTAGTAAATGGTTTTTTCCACCCACATTTAATTTTATATATGAAAACTGAATCACAACTATGGATATTCCCTTTGTTATTTCCTAGATAATTACCTGGTTCAGTTTTTACTTAGAACATATATAGTATATATTTTTATTATATATAGTAAGTGATATACATGAGTCTCTTTCCTTCAAATCTCAGCTAAAATCTCAACTTCTGCAGGAGGCCCTTCTTGGTCTCTCCCTAGTTGTTGGCATATTCCGTTCTGATATCACCAACCATCGACACTGTATAAATTTTCTATGTACCTAGTTTATTTATTAGAATGTGAGCCTCTTGAAAGAAGGGATTGTTTTTGCCTTTCCTTGTATCCCCAGTATTTATCAAAATGTGTCTGACACAAAATAAGGGCTTAATAAATGTTGGTTGATTTGACTTATTCTATGGGAGAGCAAATCTATTACAGGAACCATATCCTTGTGCTTTGACATAAGTAAGAAAAAGACTTTTGCTACCACTCAATTTAAGAAATACACATTAAACATTTATTTATCTGTGCAGGTTATTTAGTCACCAACATATATTTTAGTTTATCCTGAAAAAAAAACCAAGTAAAATCATCAACCAGCATCCCATAGGGTACTTCTCCCTTGGTGGGGTGGAGAAGGGAGTTGTTTTTAAATAAGAGTGTATTTATAGTAATCACAGTTGGCAATTCATTTGTCACCAGCTGCTCTGCTTGGTTCAGCTCCCACCATCATCTTCATCAGGCCCTGCCCAGGATAAACTCATTACTAGGAAACTTGTCATCATGGAGCTTGCTTCAGTTTTGCTACTCACACGTCATCAGTGCCCTTAGTTGTTCTTGCTTCTCTTTCTAAGGGCAGGAGGGCTCAGTGAGAAATGCCTTCCATTACCTCCCTTAATTGAAGGCTCAAAATGCTAGCTGTCTCTTCATTTGCCACCAGCTACTGTGCTGGGTTTCAGCTCCACCACCATCTCTATCACGACCCTGCACCAAGTATGTCTGGCACCTCCCTCCCCTTTTCTGTTATCTTTTGTGCATTGTCATCTCCCATTATACTGTAAGCTCCTTGACAGCAGGGACTCCCTTTTCCTTATTTGTATCCCAGTGTTTAGCATGGTGCCTGGCACATAGTAGGCACTTAATAAATGTTTATTGAATTGTATTGTTTAGAACCGGCAATAGATATAGACATCTATGTAGATACAGATATGTCTGTATCTATATAAATGTATAGATAAAGATATAGTTATAGGTATCTATAGCTATATCTATAGAGATACCTATAGACATAGATCTTTCTTTCTGTGTGTACCTTTAACTATATAGCCTGATCCTTAGTTCTTATCCATGTCCTTTCTTCTTTTCCATTTCTAACTAATTGAAGTTAAATTACTTTGTTGCCTATGAGAAGACTCAGAAATAGTATTATGCTTCTGAACCTAATCTTTACACTAGGTTATGTGACTAGACATACTGGACTTGCGACTAGCCTGGTCAGGCATGTAGGTAGAGCAGTTTGTGATGGTCTTCTTTGGCTATGACCAGAGAGGGTAGGTGCAACAGCTAAAGCTATGAAGGGGGTAGTTTTATAAAGCCACTAATAGTGTACAAATGTGGAGTCAAGAAGGTTTAGGTTCAAATCCTACCTCTGATGCTTACCACCTATGTGACCTTGTGTAAGTCACTTAACTTTCCAGTGCCTCAGTTTCCTCATCTGTAAAATGAAGAGGTTGGATGTGATGGTCTCTAAGGTTCCTTCCCGCTCTAAATCAATTATCTTTTGTTTCTATGATGCCATGGCAATTATTCACTGAGGAAAGTCCCCAAAAGAACTATTAGTTACTTGGTTGTTTTCAGTTTTTTGGACTACTCATAGTGATAAGTGCTAACCACAGAAAAGAAGACAAGCTTGTAGCTATCTTATGACACTTTTTTTTTTAAAGGAAGATGTCTGTCACAGAACTCTTAAGCACTAGATAAATGGATCTCGGAATGCTATGAATGTACCACATTGGTCCAGCAGGACATTTGCCATTGAACACCAGGATGAATAATCTTTTAATGTTTAAAACTTGGGAAAGGGTTGGACTTTGTAGGGATTGCTATTTGTTTCCCCAATGACTTCACAATATTAGTGCTCATATTAGGCACTTAATATTTACTGATTGATTGATTTACATTTTATAGTAATTACAACTCTAGCTCTGTAATGGCAGGGTAGGTGTGTGAATGGGGAGCTGCCTCCCATCTTGCCTACCCTGAAACAGGAACACATATTATAATTCTGAAACAAAGAGCTACATTTGTAGTTCTATAAACTTAAAGGTGCCTGAGGACTTTGGAAACATTTTTTCCTTTCTTGTTTTTCTGTAAATAAATAGAGAATACAAAACTTAAAAGAAGGTTGGATATTATGTTCTGTAAAACTTGGTATTTCTTCAAACACCTTTGAAACTAAAATTTAAAAAACAAACAACAAAATACTCCAACAGTTTTACTGTGGCATTGAGGCGACACTGGTATCTTAAAGGCTTTGCCAGTGGACCATAGGCTCTGATATGTCCTAGTAAGGTGGCAAGACTTCTATTATAGGCCTGGTAACAGACTCTGTGTCTGTCAGCAGAGGTTGAGTCTAGCTGAGTTCAAAGAGGTGCGTCACCAACTTGATGACAAGGCAATAATTTTTTTCTTTTTGGCCACAGTACTCTGGAAGACTATTTACTAAGTTGTAAAGAGTCAGTGGTCAGTATTGGTAGAGGGAGTGGCCAAATATAAAAACTGATGGATCACTGAAGTAATCTGGAATGGAAGACAAAAAAAATTCTTTTAAACTATTCCAAGAACACATACACACACACACACACACACACATACATATATACATATGTATATATATATGTATGTATGTGCAGATATGTGCATGGCCTAATATTTTATCTCAGAGTAATTACTCAATTAGGACCAATTATTTCTGTATAGCCCAGGAGGCACAGACACCAAATTTTCTCTTTCTTGCATTCTAAATATACATAACACATGAAATAACCTCTCATGATGATTCAACTTGGTAACAAAAACTACGAGGTAGCAGTTGTTTTAACAAATGACAGACTTACAATTGCATTTCTTCTGAACAAATCTAAGCTTGCATGCTGTTCTGTAGGTAGATAACCGGATGCGATCCAAATCTTGGGCTCCTGTTGAAAAGAAGTACATGTATGCTGTGACTTACACTCAGAGGGAAATTTTATAACGTTCGCAAGTATTGGGGCTATAAAATACACACTTTTATTAGTTCTTCTCTTCCTCCCTCCCAATCTTAGAACATATTTGCAATCACAAGTTTTGAAATGGTCTGCTCTATATCACCTGGTTTCAGGCAGGGCTATCTATGCCTCCAGGGAATTGGGCATATCTATTCAACTTTGGAAATTGCATTATAGATCACGTTCATGAAATAAAAAATGGGAAGCTTAGCCTGCTGTGTATGTCACTTTGTAGAACAATCTGGTCCAGCTGTAGGCTAAAAGGCAAACTGGCTAAGCTCCCATATCAAAGGGGAAATATCAATACAGCCATAGAAAAACAACATTTTTATCTTTAAAAAAAAGAAATTAAAATGACCAGGTAATGATCTCAGAAATATGTGTATTCTTTTAAAAACTTTTTAAAATTCTGAACTTAGTAAACACCAAACAAAACAATCATTTCAATAGACAAAATTGGACAGAATATGAGGACTATACATGAAAATGTGTCTCTCAAAAAGTCTAAGAAATTCATCATGTGGCCAGGCATGTTGGTATTATGTACCTGGTATCCCTGCTACTGGGAAATCGAAGATTGGTGGAATATGAGCTCAGAAGGTCTGAGCTTCAGAATAGGGATTAAGCTGATCCCTTGTTCACACCCTTGTCTATACTAGGTCTAGCACTAATATGATGGATGCTGGGGCACAGAAGTCAACTAGGCTGCCTTACTGCTGAATCTGACTAGGTCAGAAACGGAACAGGTCAAAGCTTCCATATTCCATATTCATTCCACATTCATTATCAGTTTATGAATGGCCACTGCATTTCCAGCATAGGCAAGAAAGATGAATAAATAATCCAGCATGCTTTGTTGTTGTGTACTCATGTCCAAGTCTTTCTGACCCCATATGGGGTTTTCTTGGCAAAGAGATTGGAACAGTTTGCCATTTCCTTCTCCAGTATTATGCAGGAAGGGGTTAGGTGACTTTCCCAGGGTCACACAGCTAGTGAACGTCTGAGGCCACATTTGAACTCAGGTCTTCCTGACTCCAGAATCATGCTGTATGCACTGAGCCACCTAGCTAACACTTTGTCCTGGTTATCCAGAAATAAATATTGGTGCTGCATCTAGAGTCAGGAATATTTTAGTTCAAATCCAAGCTCAGACACTTAGTAGCTATTTGACATTAGGCAAGTCACTCAATCTCTGCCTGACTCAGTTTCCTTGTCTATAAAATGAGGATAATAGCACCTGCTTCCCAGGGTTGTTGTGTGGATATATTGAATAAATATTTTTAAAATGCTTTGCAAACCTTAAATCTCTATATAAAGGCTGGTGGTTTTTATTGTTATTGTTATTATTATCATTGTCATTATATGTTGTTGGTGATTATAACTTAGATGTTATCCTGCATCTCCTGTTGGATAACTACTGGAGGTAATCAAGAGCTGTATTATCTGTATTAGTTAGGCTGTTTGTGAGGTGGCTGATGAGATCTACAATAACGAGGTTATCTCAATAATGAGCTTCCTGGGGCACAGTGGAGAAGTCAGTCAGAAAGTCCCAAAGTAGTGTGGGTAGGTAAGAAATGAGAACTAGCTAGGTCTTTGACTTTAAGAAAAACACTTGACCTTGGACTTCAGTTTCTTCATATGTAAATCCATTCCAGCTTCAATGTTCTGTGATCTGAGCCCTTCCTATATGTTCATATTGTTATCATGAGGATATGTGTACATGGGCAGGAAAAGTAGCTGGAGACATTCAACCATGAATCTTAGAGTGTTTGATATCAAGTGCTATGATATAGGGAGGGATGTATAAATTCTTATTTCATAAATGTGTAAATGCTTCTATGTATGCAGTAAATCTGTAATGCCTATATCATTTCTGTTTACTTGTGGTTTGCCAGTAAAGAATGCTGGGTAAAATATGATAACAAAAACTGACTTGTACTTAAGATTTCACTTCACTAGAATTTCAAAAGCCATGGCTAATTGGGTGCCTTTTATGAAACTGAGGATGAACATATGTACTTCTTCTCTGATCACTTACCAATTCTTTAACTGTTAACTGGTTTCCCTAAATTAATTTTTTAATGACTTTGCCAACAGCCAAGATTTTGTGACTTTGTGAGTTAGAAAGAAAATTACTTATTCAATCCGATGAAAGTTTCACAGTTATTTGACTTAAACAAAGAATCAGAGAACCTTTTGTTAGGAACTTAGAGACCATTTATCCTGACTTTTAATCCAACGCAAAAATCTCATCTTTTATATTCTTGATGTGTTGCTGCTTGAATTCTTCACATAATGGGAAGTTTATACTTCACACGGAAGTCCACTCTAGTTGTTAGAAAGTTTTCTAAGTTGGAGTGAAATCTGTCTCCCTGTCATACCTACTTATTAGTCCTAGTTTTTTTTTTCTCTGTAAACCATCCTCTTACCCTTCGAATCTTCAACCTGTTTCTATCTATTAGAGCCTTCTCTAATGCTCTCAAACATGTCCTAGTCTCCTGGATCCACTAAAAACAACACAAAACAAACAAAACTGTGTTACACCCTACCCATCTCCTCAAGCTATTGGTTTTTTATCTCTACTTTTTTTTTTAAGTCAAGCTCCTAGAAAAAGGTGTCTACACTCACTGACTCCACTTGCCTTCTTCTACCTTCACAATTTGAAGTCTGGTTTCTGACCTTATCACTCAGCTGCAACAGCTTTCTCTAGCATTAGCTATATTCTCTTAACGGATAAAACTAATGGTTTTCATTCCTCATCTTCAACTATCTACTGCACTGACACTGTTACTCTACTTTGTATCTACTGCCCTGCCTGATTTCATCTCTGGGAAATAAGATGCCCTTCCCAGGATAAGCTCATCACTTCTAAACTCACTACCAAACGGTAACTGAAGCCCTGATTGACACCACCTCCATCAGCCTCCTCTCCCCTCTTATTGGAGGGCTGTGGTGGTGGTGGTGGTGGGAACGGATGGATGACACTGAATTCTTTCCAATGCCTACCTTTATAAAGGACAGAAACCAGCCTCAACACACTCTGCTCTGCATCAGTTGTCCTGCCTGGTTTCAACTCCATGGATTCCCCCAGCACTGAGTCATCCTAATCCCTTTCCTGCCTCCTTTTGTGTGTTAGACTGTAAGGTTCCTGAGGACAGGGGCTGTCTTTGCTTTTATAAGTTGTACGCCCAACACTTGGCACACTGCCTGGCACATGCTATTAAACACATAGGTGCTCAATAAATGTTCATTGATTAAACAATTGATTCATTCTAAATACTCAGAAACCATAAGCTTAATGATCTATTGTAGGATTTTCCCAAAGGAATCAAGACCATTAAATGTAGTTTCTAGAATCTACTTCTTTCATCTCCCTGAAAAAATAGGACAATATTTGCTTAATTCAATTTGGAAGGACACATTTCCTTTTTCAATGGTTGAGAACAGTTATTCTGTCATTGCATAAAAGGGTTTTTTTTAAGTACTCTGGGATACAGTCTATCAGGATAAGAGACTTAAACTCATTTAATACCATTAGATATTCCTTCTCCATTCTCTCTCTCTCTCATTAATAGGTCCATTGCTTCTATGTTCTTATTGTCCTAAGTATAATATTGCTCTGAACATAACATAAAAAGTTCTTAACATCCTCAGCTGCTCATTTTGGGCCTTTTAGCCTTCCCAATATTAGTCTTAAAGATTTTTGTTACTCCTTCATAGTTGTCCTCGGTAATGGGCTCTCTTCCCTTTTTTTATATATATCCCTTTAGATTCTGGCCTCATCAGAGAACTCATTATGTAGCCCCACTGGTCCTTTCAGATATACAGTGATATAATGAATAGAGGGCTGCACTTGGAAGCAAAAAGCTCTCAGTTTGAAACCTAATTTGGAAATTTATTAGCTGTATGATTCTGGGCAAGTTACTTAACCTCTGTGGGCCCCAGTTTTGTCATCTGTGAAATGAAAGATCTCTAAGATCCCTTCCAGTTCTAAATCTATGACTTTATGACCTTTCCTTTTTCATTCACTGATTTGCGTGCTTTTATTTTTGAATCTACTATCCCTCTTGGTATGTGTATGTGTGGAGGGGGGCATGGGATCATACCTATCTTTTGTCTTTTTGCCTGGCACTTAAGTGCTTAAGAAATGCTTATTGGCCTGTTGACTTGGCACTTGGTAGCATTAATAAATGCTTGTTGATTGATTGTCTGAGGCCACAAAGCTAGTCATTGGCAGATCTGGAGCCAGAACCCAGTCCAGAGTTCCCAGCCCAGTGCCCTTTTCACTAGAACAACAGCAGGCTTTGTGCTAGAACTACTTTGATAACCTTGTTAATGTTATAATGACTTGGTAGGGGAAGAGGAAGGAGAACAAAGGGCTGTGACTTACGGGCAACATTTTCATTTTAACTGAATACTGCCTTCTCACAAGGGAGTCAATAACTGGGAATTTTGTCTCAGCAGGGAAGATAGTTTTGGACAAAGGGGTCCTTTTCCTGCACCCCTTAAATCATGGCACGAAACAACTTCTGCTTATCTGTGAGCCAAACATGGTTCTTAATTTAATCTTCTTTCCTCTACCTCCATCCCTCATAATGCCACATGGAGAGAAGGTCCTCAACAAATGTTCAGCTGGATTTGTTAAGTATTCTTGTCCATTATGCTCTGTTGCCCCTTTTCTCCCATTTTCTAGGCAAAAGGTCTTTATTGCTTTCTTTTACCGTCAACTCTTATGTCTTGGTGTTGCTTCATATGCCTTCCTGAACACCACCAATTCCTAGCAGAAGTGACGTTTTGATCTAGAGCTTTCTTTTTTTAATTTATACACCTAAGTTTCTCCACCTTCTTTACTGGGGAAATTAACATCCCACCCCCAACACACACACACACACACACACACACACACACACACACACACACACACACACACA